ATAAATGCTTTGCACAATATGAAGTATCGTATTCCGATTACTGCGCATTTCACGTCGATGTTAGTGAGCCATGTTCGGGTGTTATGTTTTTACAGGTGAATTTCTAGTTTTAACTTTACAATACCTATGTCTGACAAGTGAACATTGATTGAATAATGGTTTTCACTTTACTTTTTTGCATGTTTTTAATTACTCTTGCAATTTGTGATTTTAAGAAACTTGCCAAAACATTTTCATTGTGTATATATTATGTACACGTTATTCTTGTTTCTGTTCGTAACATGGTGTCAACGTTTCTTTCGTGACTCTTTAAAGGGGGCGGAAGTGAAATTTGAAGAATTATGACAGTAATTTTTTTTTTGAAAAAAAAGAAGTATGACAACAATTTAATATTGCTTAAGTGTTTTTTTATGTATAGGGCTATAAGGTTAGGTGTCGTTTTTCTTCGCTAATCATATAATATTTGTAATTATGAGTCTGGAAGGAAAAATAGTACGAAGCACGAGATTTAGTTCCGGTTTCACCAGGAATAGCAGACTGTCGGAAAACCACCCCGGCCCAAAGCCCTGGTCGTTGTTAAAGATCTTGTGGTTTGGAAAAAAATACGTAGGAAATGCCTTCAAAAATATTTTTTTAATTTGTAATATTTCTACAAAATCGATCTTCCAAACAATAGCGACTTTAAGTTTTATTTTTCATGAGAAACTTATTTATGACCTACTTTCTGCTTTCGTTTTGCAAAAAGCGACGTGTAATTTCAATTGCTTTCCTTTATGTAGCCAGTTCACAACAACAGGTTTTTGTCCTATATTGGTTTTAACATTTGATATTAATTAACAAACACATAATATAGTTGAAATTGTCAAATTATTATTTTTAGATATTTATGCTCTAAGAAAGAAATTATGTAGGATTCTGTTCGCAGAAAAAAATATATTTTTCAGAATTTTACGGTGAAGATTGTAATTTACCTACACAAAGAAAAAAAAATTGTTTTACTTTGTCGTAGAAAAAAACATACACAAGTAATACATTCAGGTTACATCCAGTGTATATACAATCCTTGAAAGGTTCATTATAATATAATGATAAAATATCAACATATGATGACAAAGTATCAGTATATAATTTCAAAATATCAACATATAAGGATTTTCTCCACATAAGGCAGTCGTGCCGTCCAACGTACTCCACAACAAAAGCTGGCATACTAATGACGCTCCACAAAGAGCAATTTATTGAATCATTAAAGCCAATACAGTTTTCCTCTACCAAATCATTACCACTCTTGACCTCGACCTCAGTAACATCAAAAGCAAAATCAACGTACGCAGCAGCAACGCTACAACCAGAGCCCGCCCCAGATAGCATGACTACGTTGGGCCAACGTTAGTTTTTGGTTGTATGGTTGGTAGAGTGTTGTCGTGGGGGGACAAATGTAGGCCAAACGTTGGTCCAACGTTCATCTACGTTGTCATGAAAGCGAAACCAATGATGTTGGGCATGTGATGTTGGCCCATTGTAGTAACATGTTGACAAGAAACATAGTGACTTTGTGTTGGACATTAACATGTTGGCCAAACATAGGTCCAACCGAGTAAATGTTGGCATGGATCAAGACAATTTTGTGTTAGTTGTGAAATGTTGGCCCCACGTAGGTCTAACTGAGTACATGTTGACACGAAACATGGCCACTTATTGTTGAATATTCAATGTTTGCCCAACGCTGGTCCAGCTTTATAAATGTTGACAATATAATGAGGCATCGCTCTCTGTTGGGCGTGTAAGACTGGACTGGAGTTGGTCCAATAGTAGGAATATTGGGATTACATCTACAGGTACCCTGTAGTGTTTGAAATGAAATGCTGGTCAAACGTTGGCATTAATATTGCGAAAACCATTCATTAGTTTAGGTTTATTAATTGTAAATTGTTGGTAATGTAAAAAGTAGCTCATCATTAACATTGATCTATTATATTGTATTGAAATTATGAGACAATCCTTATAAGTCTATGAATTACATATAGTTATTTTGTTACTTGGTACATTCTATATTTAGCATAATTGAATCAAATTTAAAGTGCTGTGTTTTGGACTCCAAAATAAAAAAAAATAGGTCACTGCTGAACTTCACTGTGACTCATAAGTTTAAAAAAAGAAACCGGCATCTTAATAAGTTTTTTTAACCGCGCAGTTGAACAATTTAAAGCGTATGTGTGTTTAAGTATATACAAGAATTTTAACGCTTGAAATGTAAGAATAATTTTTGTTTTTGTTTTTGAAATAAATGCAAACTAAATATTGCTTTAAAAATATATGTGTGCCATGTGTAGCGACATTTTTATGACCTGGCTGTAAGCTTTTAAACTATCAGTTACGGGGTGCTGATTAAACTATAGTTCTTGATGACGATCTTAAGGTTTATAGGAAGTGGCGGGATGGATAAACCCTCTTCACTCTGAGACTATTGATGTGGCATTTTCTTCATATGAAGGGATTGATTAATATGTGTATGAGACATGGATTTTAAGAAGAGATAAACAGCAGAAAAAATAATAAATCAAAATGATTCAAATATGACCTTCCGAAACTCTACTTTTAGAACTTGAAAACTTATTTTGTAGTGAACATATTGATATGGAATGTACATGGTTTAAAACATTGAACGATCAACCTCTACTTTATTTACATTCCGTGGAATACCTTAATGAAAGTGAAAGTGACAAAGATTATAGTGTTTTACATTTTAAGAAAGGAAAAAAATGACCAAACTTGGTGACAGTAACTGTGTCTTATAATCTAGGAAATAAAAATTACAGATTTTTTTTTAATTCTGTAAGACATTTGTATTCAGAAATAATTGTGCCAACATTGATATTTCAACAAACAGCTTTGCATCAACTTTGAAACAACGTGATAGCTATATTTTGAACAGAGGTCCAGTGTAGGGCCTACGTTACAAAAAAATGGGTATCATTGGTATGTTAGAATAGCGTTGTACCAACGATGACATTTCAACAAAAGCATTGTACCAACGTTGGACCAACGTAATGATTATATTTTGAACTGAGGTCCAACTTTGGGCCAACGTTACAAAATACTGTGTTGGCATTGGTATGTTGGAATAACGTTGTACCAACTTTGACAAATAAACAAACAGTGTTGTACCAACATAAGCCCAACATGTTTGGCCGACGGTGCGCCAATGAGCAATAAGACATTGGGCCAACGTAAATTGCCAACATTGGCCCAATATTACAATCATTGTTGGGCCAACGTTTGGCCAATGCCCTTTTGCTATCTGGGGAGACAACAATATTATCTGAAACCACGAGACATTTTTTCCTCACTTCAACCAGTCCAAACCCAGGTCCAAATCATTGATGTGCAATACGTCCTGTTTTTTCTTAACTACATTGTCCAGCCAGATTTCCTTACTGTTTTCAATAAGGCAGATACAATCATGTTGAGAACCCTCATTCTAGATTTAGGATCTGCGAAGTTTGCGTGAAAATTATCTTTTATGACAGATATTTTTCTTCTTTATTGCAGTAATGATCAACAACTAATCTACAACTTTACTTAATTACAATAGATGAATATATGTATCTATGATGTACAAATCTGTTTTTTTAGGGGAGTGTCATCACAAGTTTACCAATCTCCGTACGATAATGAGGACGCCCCACCTCTAAACTGACTTTATACAAGGTCAGCGCATGTTTGACTATCGTTGTCCTTTGAACAGTAGTTGTACATTTGCATTAGTAATGTTTTGTTAAAAGGGAATTGATAGACAAACATTCGCTCATTATAAAAGAAAAACGTCTGTTTTTCTTTCTTAAACTCACTGATTGTTGTAACCAAGGTCTGTTACACGTTTAATATTATACTTGACAACGTGATATCTTTCCTCACGTAATTTTGTGAAAACAATTTTAGTCACGTGATTTAAAAGGAGCATGTTTTAGTAAAGTAGGTCACTATGCTCGAACACGTTAGATAGTCATCCATCAATTTTTAAAATATATTTTTATTACACAGATGATCTCATACATTTTAAACTCTTTAAAATAATGTACTTGTGTCATACAGAATAAACGGAAAGATCGAAAATATAGATCTCGTCTTTTAATAGATGTAATTGTTATTCACATCGTCTAATTTTAGATTCTTTCTTATGATGTTAGCTCCGCCTCTCATACATACATATTGTTCAATTAACGGCAGATAATTGTAAATTCTCTGTTTTAGAAAAAGTGCACAGTCATCCTTTCTATGTTTTAGAATTTAGACCTAAGGGCAGATCACTCTAACTGCAGAAAAATACCTTAGAAACAGAACTCTTTAGTATGGGGCTTGTGAAAATGGTTCTTAACTCAGAAATTAATTCCTTATATTACAGTGTAGTTTAACTTAAATGCTCATTTAATTTACATGTCTATTACCAAGAGTTCTAATATGATTATTTTTCGTAAGAATGCTTTTTAAGAAGCTTTTGTACATAGAATTAAATGGATTAATTTCTTATCCTCTGTTTGAGTGTCTCTTTAAAGGTTTAAATAATGCAGTTAAACTATTCCTGTTATAGGCTTTTGATAATTCATGTAATTGGTTGGAAGAAAATAGGTATATTTTTTAGTAAATTCTGTGGATAGAAAATATAACTTTAAATTAAGTTGGAACAATAAGTGATGTAACATAGACGATTTTAATTTCAGGCCTCAGATAACAAACTAGTTAAAAGCCCCTCTAAATACAGGAAACCTAAATAAAAGGGAAAAGAATATACATTTGTTTCCCCGGAATGTTGACATTTTAAAGAAAATGTCAGTGGGATTTCCATTTCAGGTTTTGTTTCATAACTATTTGTCTATTTAAAAGTAATTAAAACAAAAATATCTGTCACCATTGATTAAACATGTTCTTTGGGTGAGAGCCTTATACTAAGCTAGGATAAAGTCATATTTTGGATTAAATATGCCTAGGTATATGTTTGCAGTGTATCAGGGTACTACATGTAGCTGAAAAATATGATGTGCAAGAAATAGGTGACACTAGGATGTTTTGCAAACACACAGTTGTAAATACAAAAGTAAAACACGTGGTCAGTTGCAGAGGATATCATTATCAAGAATTGGTATTGGACTATGAAACAAATAGTATTCATCAAGAAAGATAACAAGAATAAGTTCACAAATCTTTCTTTTGTTTGTTTATATTGGTCAGTTGCAGAGGAAATTTGTCTTGAAAGCAGATTGGCTGAGAAGAAAAAAATGAGAATCCTAGATAAAAAAAAAAATTAAAATAAACATGACGCAGTAGCTTTAAATTTGAAAAATTAACGGTTACCCTCTTTGTACCCTTTTCTCAAGAATCAGCACAAAAATTGTAGGTAAATGCCTGATTCATTACATTTGGAATTTGCTAACAAGTGACACTTTTAAAAAAAAATGACAGATGAAAAAGAAATGTTCAAAAACTCACAGTTCTTTTAAATTTGGCATCCCATTAAAGGCGTTGTCTGGAATGGTGGTTATCTTGTTGGTGTGTAGCCATCTGAAATAATATTTTGTCATAAATTCATTAAGGTATCAATTTTACAAACAATCAGATAATTTCCATTTAAGGGGGATGTACGGCCATATTTAGTGCAGTGAGAACAAAATGTAAACATTTCTTCAAATGGCTAAAATACATTATATTTTGATCAAATTCTAAACCCTTATGATAAAGATACAATAAATATGCATAACTGAATGCATGTTGTGCATATATAATCTATACTTTTGCAGAAAAATGCTTTTGATATGCATCTTAGAACTGCGCAGCTACAGAATTCAGCAGAGCCTTAAAAAATCCAAAAAAATACGCAAAGTGTGCATTAATGTTCTCTCTACAACCATTTGTTGAGAAAATGTCTAAATTTTGCACTTTTAAATGATAATTTTAAGTTCAAAACAAGGTATCGTTGTCTTCAAAAAGAGTGTAAAGAACCCTGAAAGTAGTTCATTGATAGCAGCACGTGGTCTATTTTTAGCACAGAATTTTGTTTCCCAGACCTCTTCTTAATATGGAGGGACATAACAATCTTTAAATGTAGAAGAGAATTACAGTTGCAAAATATTTCAAATAATATGAACACTTTTCAAAGAGGAATTGTGTTAAAGTGTGGCTTGAAGTAATTTATGTAGTATTATTATCAAACAGTTGTTAAATAGTGTACGTATTGAAATAAACTTTTTGATTCCAGGTAAGGAAAAATGAGCACCATCAAAGTTTAAAATTAAGAGTTTGTAAGTTTGCCACAGATAACTTATAATATCTATCAAAAGTTTAATTATCACCAATGAAACACAAAGAAATTAAACACATAAAATCGATATGAAGAACCTTGTGTTAGTATCTGCTAGTACGAGGGGTGATCGAACTATCTCTATATCTACAAAACCACAATTTAGATTAGAAGCAAATTTGGTGCACACTCAAGTTCTATAAATAGCATATGCCGAATAAAGTTTTGCTCACAATGTGAAAATAAAGTCATTATGCAGGTACTTGTGACAAAAAATGGTTGTCTCAGTGGAACTCATTCAACAAACGACTAAAATAATTATGATATATCTTAAAACTGCATTTGAAGTAACGTATAAGAATTTGTTCAAAGTTTATTAAGACAAATGACTTCCTAATAATTCAATCAATGATTGGATAGACCGTTTTAGTGAAGGAAGGCAGATGGTTAAATATGATACTTGTTATGTTGCACGGTGTAAGCAAGTTTGAATAGGGGTTAGTTTTTTAATTAAGCAATATGCTATCAAAGGTCTCCAATTTACACTTTGAAAAATACTTGAATATTTCAACAATAATATAACTATCAAATACCTAAGATATCGTTTAATTTGATCACCCCCCCTCCTATATACTCTGTCAAATAAACATTTACAATTTTCATTACAGCGGAGCAACATTTGAAAAGGAATAAAATCATTCAGAGTGGGTTAGGAGATTTAATGAATAACTTTTTTTTATTTGCCCATTTTGTCAAAATTACAATTTTACAGAGTAAAGAAAAAAATAAACACAATTAAATATTTTATAACATCTTTAAAATGACGTTTGGTGGACCTCCCAACTCAGGGAAAATTATTGGGTCCGTATTTATGGTGAGAAAAAAAATTCCTTAAAATTCAAACATATCTGTTCACAGAAGAAAAAAAAAATCCTGTAATTGGATGTAAAATAAAATTGAGTCGGGCCATTTTTAGGCAGTAGATCGGGAGAGAGGGCAACAAAATATATTTACAACAAATGGTCCTATAAGGCTAGTACATGTTCCATCACATACGTAGTAATGCAAAATTTTTTTTTAATCTTTGGTACTATTTTGAAAAAAGAACATATGATTTTCGGAAGGGGGGGGGGGGTAGTCTCTCATTTTTTGCGATGATAGATAGACATTGCATTTGCAATGGACCTTTGTTTGCAAACATTGTGATTGCTTCTAAATTAAGAAAAAAAACTATATATATTTTATCAAGCTTCGTATGTTCAATGATCGAGAGCTTACAACGTAGTCAACATAATGAGACATGATGCGTTTTTATGTCCAAACATTACTCCATACGATGTGTTGGTCATTGCAAACAATCAAGCTATTTATGTGAGGTGCCTGAAGGAAATCCTTTAACTGCCTATTTTTTCTATCTAACTGCTAAACAAAATAGACATATGTACCAACTTTTCGAATGTAAGACATGTAATTGCAATTTGTTTTTCATGCACCACATATTGTTTAACATTTTCAAATTAAATGCTAAGCATCCTCCTTGCAGTGCCCCATTTCAAAATAACTTCTATTGCCACAGAAAAAAAGACCCGACGTAAACACATATGTTTAGGGCATTTTTAGCTTTTTCTTGAGTTTTAAAGAAACCAACAAATTATCAAGACTTGTTCCACGAAAAATTAAATATAATCATGGTTATAAACGCATCTACCCACAGCAGATATATGCACATGTCAAGCACGTGCTCAGTGTATTAATATTTTCTAGGAAACTCGAGCTGTGAACAGAACAGTTTTTCCCGATTTGCTGGAGTGGGGTTAAAATCGCGTTTTTTCATTAATCAGACGAAGCGATGCAACAAATAAAAGTAGTAAGTAATATTACCTAATGATTATTACTAAGTAATTTCTTGTCTTGATGTTTTTATGGTCGCATTTATTCTAAAATCAATGTTATTCGAACTCTGTGCGACAGAGGAATGGCGGACGAAATAAACACATGGTCTCAGGAAGACACACATATGAAAAATCAAATTTTCAAGAATTCTAGATAATGACAAGAAAAAAGCGAAACAAATGGTTGTAGCCATATTATCAATGAATCAAACTAACACCATTTTCAATGCATTTTTCATCTCGTGAATGCTGTAGCTGCGCAGTTCTACAATGATTAATTTCCTCCTAATTAAAACAAAATAAACTTAATTATTTACTAATTTTGGTCTCTAACAGTAGGTAACTAGTGCATTAACACTTAGAGTTACTTTGGGCTAGTTTAGACGAGTATTAAGCGCATTCTTGGCATTTCTTATTTCACACCAGACTAGATCCAATTGGCTTGTACATCCCCCTTAACTGAGTTTAGCGAGTTCATGAAAAATGAGCTCTTAGAGGTAAGTTACATGTAAGTAAAATCAGTATTGCCTCATATACTTAAAAAATATTTAGCGTGTTTCTTCAAAATATATTTTCATAATATTGAAAATGTCAACAATTGACTATGAATCATAAAACAAAAAGTATAAATCAAGAAAAGAAATCTTGACTGTGTTCAAAGAAATCTTGACTGTGTTCAAAGAAATCTTGACTGTGTTCAAAGAATATTTTTCTTTGTTTATGCAATGTAACATGTACAGCTTCATTCAATGTCTTTGAAGATAGACTAAAGTCCTTTTCTTGTTTTGATGGATCTTATAAATGGAAATACAATACTTCTCAATAGAAATATTAATTATCATTCTTCTTATACAATGGATAATGATTCTAAGTAATTTTATAAACAATGTCACAGAAAGGTTGCTTTCATCAAAAGATGGTTATTCTCAATTGGTTCAATTTTTCATCAGCATTTATTTTATTCAACATGTACTCTGTGAAAAGAAAATAGTGCGTTGAATAAAAGAAGAAATAGGCATCGATGTACGTTCGTCGGTTATTATTTTACTCGTCAGCGCGCGAGGTATTTGATAAGCACTTCTAATAATATTAATGACCACAGTCCATATGCCTTCAGGCCCCTTATGACTTTTTGATTGAATTTTTCTTAAAGATGTTAATACGTATCAATAAAAAGGAAAGATCTGTTAACTCATTATTCTTATCAAATGGGTTTTGATTCTAAGTGATGGCATACCAGAGAATGAAAAGTCGAAAATGATGAAATTTCGAAATTACTTTTTGTTCAATTTTTACTAAGCTGTAAAGCACATTTTTATTCCAAAAAATAAACACACACACACACACACACACGTACAGAAAAAAGACCTGCATACAGTCTATAAAATCTTCTACCTTTCAGTTTTCCGTTCGCTCACCGTGCGTTCTGCGTGTGTTCACCGTTCGTTCACCGTCCGTTCTCTATTTGCTCTCCCTTCACTGTTTTCCGTCAGAGTTCATTCTTCGTTCCGTTTACTTTATGTTCAACTTACGTTCTTTACAGTCATCGTCATTTGGTACTCCGAGCTGAAAGACTCTTTTTAACAGTAAGGATTTACATCTTTGTCTAATAACTATGATACAGTCCCTGAAACGTTCTACTTTCCAACCTGAACGGTGAACCAACGCTGAACAAACGCTGAGCGGCGAACGCAGAGCGAACAGTGAGTGAACGATCTGTGAACACAACTTGGTGAACGGTGTGTGAACGGAGAACGGTGAGTGAACGCAGAACGCGAACGGGGCCCAAACGCAAGTGCGAAGCAAACAGTGAACACTAGATGAACGATTTATTCGGAATGCCTCTGACCTTTTCCTTGCATTGAAACTATTTTGTTGCATTCTGTCGTTTGTTAGGTGCTTAAATATAAATAAACATAAAATAGATTAATGAATAAATGATCAAAACAACTTTTCTGCACAAACGTATAACGTTTGAGATAAATATTTTTATAGCACGATTTTCTTTGCCGTAAAACATGATTGTGTAATTTCTTCTGAACACTTGTACACTGTAGCATACAAGATATATTCATTTTACTAATAAAACAAATATGCTTATTCTTTTAACTAATAAAATTATGTAGGTTTCAGAAGAGAAAACTACTACTAATAGAATGAATTAATTACATTGTGCAACAGTTTTAAGAAACATATATTATACATTTTCGTGCCATGCCTATTCCGTGTAAATAACGATTTTTATTATTTAGAAAGGTCTGTAAACGTATTGTATTTATACACTTGTATTTCAAAATTTTAATGCAAAAATATTATATTTTATGTGTTATTTTTTATTATGATTTATTTGAGCAAAATTCTACATGTACAAA